ACCAGCGTTTCATGAGTGACTCTGTTCTTGTGTTCTGGCAGTGGGTGAGCCAATCAACACTGAAGCATGGCAGTGGTACTACAGTGAGGTCAGAGACAAGCGTTGTCCTGTGGTGGATACCTGGTGAAAAACAGGTAAATGGGAACACACTGTTGTTACTCTTCAGACAATTCAAAAGTCACGTTACATGTTTTTATCTCACACACTTGAGTTTGTTCTGGTTCTGGAAAACAAAAAAATATAACTGAGAATAATTGAACACCATTGCATTGCATTGACCCAGATATTCTGCTAAACTAACTAAGGATTACAGTTTAGTCTAATTTTCCTGCACCAATTTCTCTAATGAAGACTACGTGACTTTATATTCATAAAATCCATTTGTTGGATCTGCAAACAAGAGTATGTTTTTAGTTCCTTTTTTGTACTTATAGTATATTTTAGTAGTTATATTTAGTATATACTGTATAGTTATATTTAGTACTTATAGTAATTTTTTTTAGCTTTTTTTGTTTATTTTTTAACTTGGATATGTAGTTTAATCATTGTGTAACTTGATTGCTGTGCTATTGTAATTAACAGATTTTTTAGTTAGTTTATTTGTAGCTTAGTTGTAATGTGGTGAAATCATTGTGTAACTTGAGCTGTATTTGAAACCTTCCAATAAAAGAAAATTGTTGGACCATTTTGTGCATTCTCAGCCAATAATGAAGAATATGAATGAGTTGCTCATTGGCTTTTAGGGCATGCATTGTTAAACTCAAAGTCAAGGGTTATACTAGTTACAGTTTATATGTCCCTTTTTTAAATAAATGTGTGACATGGGCTTAGCTCATGGCTAAAGTAATGGAGCTGTATCAGCCAAGTGCAGTGGTCTTTCAATGTGCAGCCAATTGAACTTCACTGTTAAAGGTATGAAAATAAATGGATTTAAACTTTTCACAGGTATTGACTAAAGAGTGAGTGGCACATCAACTGGACAAATCCAGTACAGACAAGTTTGACTACAGCCAGAACAAGTAGTGTTATTGCATTTAATTTATTTGTATTTGCAGGAGCTTAAGAGAAGGAGTGAGAGGACATTGGGATGAGGACTTAAGTATGTGCTAGATGTATAGTTGTTTTTGACTAACCAAATAAGTATTTTTTATTTGCTACTTGACTTGTTGTTTCATGTAGCCATTGTTGAATGTGGAATTCTTTAGAGTACTAAGTAGTGGCACAAGGAAAATGAGTGGTTTGCTTCTGTTGATAGTAGTTAATTGAAGTATTTTGTAACATGCTAGTGCTAAACACTTTGAACATGGTGTAGTCATCCGAGTGCATTTGTATGGAATGTTGTCTTTATTTCATCTTGTTTCAAGCCAAAAGAAGAGGTTAAACCAAGTTGTTCCACCCCTGATGATGGGACCTTTGTTGAATCCTGTGAGCACATGTGGTTGACAGAAGTAGTGTTGAGTATGTGATCCTGCCATCTTTACCTGAAGTGTTAAAGCCAACAGTTACTGTTGTAATTTGACATGGATTGTTTTTAAATGTGCATCTATGGACTTTGATTGAATGCATGTTTTGTAAATGAAGTGTTTTTGCTATTAAAAGAATCAAAAGTTGTTGTTATGCTGTTCATTGAGGAAGTGTTGTAGTTTAACATTTTACTGCTTATTTTTTAACTAAAAAAAAAAAAAAAAAAGTTTTGTTTTAGTTTTGTTAAAAACTAAGCAGTAAGTTAAAAACCCAGAACACTTCCACAATGAACAGCATAACTTTTGATTCTTTTAATAGCAAAAACGCTTAATTTACAAAACATGCATTCAATCAAAGTCCAAAGATACACATTTAAAAACAATACATGTCAAATTACAACAGTAACTGTTAGCTTTAACACTTCAGGTAAAGATGGCAGGATCACATACTCAACACTACTTCTGTCAACCACATGTGCTCCCAGGATTCAACAAAGGTCCCATCATCAGGAGTGGAACAACTTGGTTTAACCTCTTCTTTTGGCTTGAAACAAGATGAAATAAAGACAACATTCCATACAAATGCTCTCAGATGACTACACCATGTTCAAAGTGTTTAGCACTAGCATGTTACAAAATGCTTCAATTAACCACTATCAACAGAAGCAAACCACTCATTT